CAAGCATTTTGTTAAGTCACCTCCACAGTCCAAAAATATCTATTTTAGCTCATTCCATGGAATGAAGATTAAGATATATAGAAGCTTGAGTAATTGCTTTTGAATTAAAAAGCTGGAAAATGATGTTGGTGAACCCAAGTTTAAGCCCAGGTAGTCTAACTTCAGTTATATATATAAGAACAATTTATGTAGCTGGGTGGTGGCGGTACATGCCTTTAATCCCAGCACTTGGAAAAAAAGTGTAGCACAAGTTCTAATAGGTCTAAATAATAAAAGCCTGGAATCAGACATATGGGAAAATGCTGAGAGATCAGAGAGAAGGAACAAGCCACAAGCCATAGCCACCTTAGCAACTCAACTTCCCAGCTGAAACAGACTGAGTCTTATCACTTTCTGTCTGTCTGTACAGACCTCTATGGTTAACTAGTGGCTAGTTCTACCCTCTGATCTTCAGGCAAGCTTTAGTTGTTAGAGTATAAACAAGATATCACCACAAAAATGTATTAATTTTTTTGTGTAGAGGTATGTAGAGGTTGAGGAATTGTGTGTACCCACAATTCATACAAGTCAGTTTTTCCTTTCACCATATGGGTCCCAGGATGGAACTCAAACTGTGGGACCTAGGGTCAGGCACCTTCATCCATTAAGCCATCTCACTGATCCTACCTTTAGATGTTCACACTTAACTTTTTGTCTGTTTTTGGTGTGTGTATGTACATGTTTGCATGTGCTTACTGGGGCCAGAAGACAACCTTGGCAGCTGTTCCTTGGGACCTGCCTACCTTTTTTTGTTTGTTTGTTGAGAGTCTCACTGGCTTAGAGCTTGCCAAACCGGCTAGCCTAGCAGGGAACTGTCTGTCTCTCCCATGCTTGGTTTATAAGCATGCATTACCATGCTTTTTTCTACATAAGTTCTTGGCAGGTTATTAAACTCAGATTCTCAAGCAAACCCTTCAGTAATCTTCCAGCCCACATCTGTTTTATCCTTGTCTCTTCTGTATTTAAAATTCAAGGTATTTAAGAGCAAGGTAGCTGTCTCAGAGGAGATGATTTGTAGGAAACCAGATGTGGCTCATAGGAGAAATTGTCAGGGTCAGGGTCAGTTCAGTAGCCAAGTTCATAGCTGGTTAACATTGAACTGTTCAGCAATTAACTTCCCAGTATCTTGGTGAGGTATAAACTGTACCATTACAGTTGTGCCTATGGAGAAAATGAGTGGCTTATGTAGGGCACAGGTAGAATGAATACAAGGGGAATGATTTCAGAGGCATAATATAATCCTTGAGCACTCGGCACTGCTTTTAGTTTGAATTCTAAGGAAATCCATTTACCTGAAAACACTGGACCAAAGGAATTTCGATTTCTCATGTGGTGTCAGTAAAGCTCTGGTACTTATTGGGCTTGCATCAACTGTCCATAGATTGACAGGTGTGTTCCTTTTGAAATAGGGTCTTATTATGTTCCAAGGTGGTCTGGTACTCTTTTGAGTGCTGGAATTGTAGACATGAACCATCATGTTCAGCTGAGATTTCAGAGGACTTTATGACTTCATGTTAAAAAAGTCAAGATTAAATAGAGGATAAATGTTGGGTTTGGCTAGTAGTGAGCTGGTCCAAAGGGGAAAGATTAAAAAGAAAGCGGGATTGCATCAGGTTGCATATATGTAGTAAAACTTTTTGTTTATGATTTGTTATCTTTGGGAGAAACGAAGTATGTGCCAACAACTTGAATATTCTCAAATCCCTGGCTACCCTAAAGTGAATTTGCTCTCTGAGAAGTTTTGTTTTCCCAGCTGTGAGTTGGCTACTTTTTCTCTTCCTCCTTCCTTCCTTCCACAGGGATTCTCTGTAGCGCTGGAACCTGGAACTCACTCTACAGATCAGGCTGGACTTGCACTCACAGAGATCCACCTGCTTCTGCCTCCTGAGTACTGAGATAAAAGGTGTGCACCATCACTGCCTGGTTGAGTTGGCTATTTTCAGTAGTTTTAGTTTAAAGGCTAGGTGTGGTCGTACTGCCTTTAATCCCAGCGCTTGAGAAGCAGAGGCAGGCAGATCTCTGTGAGTTCCAGGCCAGCCTGGTTTATATAGTGAGTTCCAGTACAGCCAGGACTCTGGAGAAAGACCCTATCTCAAAACAAAACAAAACAAAAAAAGCAAACAAAACAAAACCCAAGTTTCTTGTTTGTTCCAACCAATAAAGAAATAGGACTGATCATCTATGCTATTAAAGGACAATCCATGACAAATTACAGTCCCTTGTATTCTACTCAGAGATTCCAGCAGTGTTGCTTCTGATAAACCCTTGGAAGAGGAGTGGTCTATATGTGTACAAACTTTAGGTAGGAACATAATAAAAGAAAGTATTTATGGCTTCTGATTTGAAATATAGCTTTGTTTTTTATTTTTACAATACAGTGAGCAGTATGACATCTCAAGATAACAAGTGGAGAAACAAGACAGTACAAAGGGAGATAAACAATGAATGCCAGAGTGATTACCTTCATTAAGGATGAATCCATGTTTAATATTTTCCACACATTCACAAAAATTACATTCAAATCATTCCTTAGGCCATGAGAGAAGGAAAACAATCCACACTAGATTTTCATAGAAAGCTAATCTGGATCAGTCTAAATACTAATGTCCTATTTGTTCTGACAGGAAAAATGTAAGAAATGATGGTTCTTTCTTGCTTGAGTTTCCGGAGGACATGTCATTAGCTGATATTGTCTACCGTGTTTCTGAGGGTCTCATGTGGCTGATGGTAACCATGAGCTGCTGGCCCTTCTGCTTCTACTTTCCAAGCTCTGGAAACCCATGCTGGGTTTCTGCAGTGCTGGGGATCTAGCCAGGGCTTTGTGCATGCTAGGCAATACTCTACCAACTGAGCTATGTTCCCGTCAACCCACAACATCATTTCTGAGGCTTCCCCAGCACTGCAGTTTCCAATCAGAACCACAAAGGGATAGAGAATTGAATTGGCCCTAACGCTGTACAATTACAGGTATAACAAGGCTTTTTTTTTTTTTAAAGTTAGCACAGCTTAACTTCTTAACTTTTTACTGTGTAGGGACTATGTTGAGCATTATTGCATTCATAATCACGAGGACTTAGAAAAGTTCAGGATATATACCATCCATCTATGGATATGAGTAAAGTTAGGATCTTACGGACCTTGAGAACCTCAGGGTAAAAGCATCCATGGTGGCATGGCATGTGCCTGAGCACAGGCTCTGCTATGAAGGGCATGTGTTTGGGTCCTGATAGCACATGCCCCACTGTCACGCATGCCACAGACACCACTTAAAATTTACTCAAGTCCAATCATCTTTCTTTTTGTTTTTTTCCTTTCTTTCTTTGAGACAGATTCTCATAAAGTTCAGGCCAGCCTTGAACTCTACATCTTCCTGCCACAGTTTCAGGTGGGCACTAAGTCTCTGTTAGTATTTTCAGTCAGTATGCAGATCACAAAGCTCTACTGACCATAGACTACCTTTCATTCTCGAGGAGAAAAAAACAGTGGAAAACTGAACAGATTTAATTGTTAAGTGCTAAGTAAATTGAGCTTCAATGCTGACAAGGGTGTGAATTTTGCATTTTTCCTGCTGTAAACTGGGAGTGTTCAGAGTTGAGACTGTAGCATTCCTTCCCTCGACCCAATGTTCCTTTTTCCCTAAGGAAAATTGTTTTTAAAATATTTCTAAATAGACACACTTGCCAGCCAACTACAAAAGCCATGCAAAAACTGAACATAAAAAGATATCACAAACTCTCTAATTTGTTCCAATAAGATTATCTAGAAGAGAAATCGGACACAAATGGCACAGACAAGACATTAACAACAACTGCTTATGCTAAGTGACAATTCAGTAAGTATCATTCCAGTGTTTAGCTTTGGGAACATGAAATGCTGTAGCTAAATACAATCAAGACATTCACATTTGAGGTTGGTTGTCACACATTACAGTTTCCTTAAAGGCTTGAAAAGACTACAAGTTTAACTTCCCATGCAGATATGTGGATTCTGCATTTAAAGCTAGAGCTGTAGAAACAGTACAAAAATTCTATTAGTGTCAACATTTAAGATTTAGCAAGCTGTTGTATTCCGGTCCCAATGCAGAGACCATGGTAGGACAAAAACTTGTCTGTACATGCTTAAATAAACTCTCCTCCAATGTCCTTTACTAAATGCTCAATGACTCTTAAGGCTTTCTTCTGATCTTAAAGTTAATTATCATGGTATTCCCTCAGTGTATGTATATAGAATTTTTTGTTTCAATGCTGAAGACTGTTATTAGTCTATTAATTATTAGTATACAGTACAGTAGATTTCCAGTTTGATACTTACATTTACATACATAGCAGTCATAGATAAACTTCTGTACTCTGATAAAAAATGCAGAAACTGTCAAATGTGGTAATCTTTCCGTGGAAATAAAAACTATTTCCATCACAAGGAAGAAATTTCAAAGGTCAACACAGTTTATACGAACTCTTGTATCAGAGAAAGGAATCAAGACTATCAAATCACCACAATTTACTAAAAGAATTAGAAAATTCTATCCTTAAAAATGTCAGCATCTTTTGTACACTTTTAACTACACTAGTGTCTGCTGAGTATGTATTCTCATCCACGAAGTCCAAACTAAAAAGTTGGTTCTTTTTTTATTTTTGTTTTTTTGAGACAGTGTTTCTATGTAGCTCTGGTTGTCCTACAATTCAGGGATCCACCTGTCTCTGCCTCCCAAGTGCTGGGATTTAAGGACATGCCCTATCAGGCCCAGCAAACTTGGAACTTCTGATGGAATGTTTTTTTTTTCAGAATGAAAAGACATACAAATAAATTTACACCTAAAAAAGCCACCCCAAACTAAAGCAGCTCCTTGTTTTTCTTTTTAAGAGAACTGTTTCTGATGACTAAACCAGTTGTTTAAGAAAATACTGTTATTCCCAGTGCACAGAAGCACAGACCCTTCTCCCAATAATCGCACAAAGTCATTTAAGTTAAGTGTTAAATAATGTTAATATTTATAACTCTGTGAGACATGGAGTATTGTGTATATACATAAATGTTTTCTTCATTGACATATGACCAAGAGGCAGAGTCAGGAAGGTAAAAACTAAAGGTTTCTCCAGGATAAATCAGAAATGCTCTGAAGCAAGTTCCCATTTTAAATCTCCAAACAAGCCAAGGATCCCTAAAGCCATGCCCAGAAAATAATAGTGTTGTGTACAAACAGCCTAAGGGACCTTTCTCACTAGTTTGGGATCTACAAATAGGTGAGCTGCTTATCTGTCTCCTTCTCAGCATTGAGGCCATTTTCCTGTTGGTGGTTTGCCAAATAAAGTTCAGCATGATGACACAGAAAAGTAGCTGTTTTCTTCACCTTAGCCAAGTAGATGGCACCCACTGAGGTTCAGTGTCCAGTTTGTTAATGAGCCTAAGCAATTCCTGATAGGCTTTGTCAAGATCTGAATTCACAATTGCAGTGTCAAAGTAGTGGCCATTGTTTTGTTCCATCTCTCTAGTCTTCTCAATGATCTCTCTTAACTCTTCAGGCTGCAATGAAAATAAAATAAACACCGTGAGGCCACACAGAATACAGAATGAGTTAGGAGTGTCACTACATGGCTTTCCTCTTGTCTGTGGTAGACCCAAGAACTCCTTGGCCCACCTTGGCATCAATACTTCAGAACTCCTGTTTGAATCCTGGCTTATTATACCTTCATGTATTTCCATTTTTAGGTTTGAAGAACATGCACAATTACTTTGAATTCCCTAAAAACTTTCATTTTCAAACATTTTTGAAGAAATGGTTCAATAGTTAAGAGCACTATTTGTTCTGGCTGAGGACCCAGGTTCAGTTCTCATGTGACATTTCAAAACCATAGGTAACTCTGTCGTCCCCTTCTGACCTCCTAGGAGACTGTAGACACCTGATACAGACATAAATGCAGACAAAACACCCATACACATAAAAAAATAACAAAACTTAAACAAGTTACATCTTGTATAATATGGAGTCCAACTTTAAGACTATAGAGTAAGTGCCTCTGAAACATTCTTTACATGAGCACTTGCTTCTGCTGGGCCTGGTGGCACACACCTTTAATCTCAGCATTCAGGAGGCAGAGGGTGGTGAGTTTGAGTGCAGTCTGGTCTGCATAGTTTCAAACCACCCAGGGCTACACAGTCAGATGTCTCAAAGACAAGAACAAAAATGCCTTTATGTGTGTGGCAAATTTAGGCAGAATTAACATTATGGGAGAAGTAAAGGATTAATACATTGGGTTATCTTTTGCTAAGAAAATCTTGTTGAAGATTTAATAACATTGGGTTGTTATTCCACTTAATATACTTTAAAACTCAGTTTTCAATGTACAAAAGATTTTTTTTTTTCTTTCTACCTTTCTTTCTTTCTTTCTTTTTTTTTTTTTTGGAGAAGGATCTGGCTGTGTATCCCCTGTCTGGCCTAAAACCTTTTGCCTTCCTACACTAGTATGGGATAACAAGTGTATACCACACTACCACTCTGGGCTCTCCTAAGGACAATTCTGTTTATATTTTATTTAATTTTCTTTCTTTTCCTTTTTTTCCAATGCAGTATTTTTCTACATGGCCCTGGTTATCCTGGAATTCCCTATCTTTGCCTCCTGAGTGCTGGGGTTAAAGGTGTGTGTTGTCAAGACTTACACCACTTGGCCCTATCATGGACAGTTTAAGAACCAAAAGAGTATCCCACCAGAGTCTGAGAAACAATATAAAATGGGCTACTTTAAAATGCTGAGTAAAGAAGTGATATGTAACGGAGATAAGCCAGTAGCAAGGTTATGAACAAAAGTTATTCAGAACCCTACAATAATCAGGCTCATGGTCAAGAAATGAAAACTACCCCAAACCACACTTGTCAGTTGAGATGATTAATTAAACTTCAGACCAAATGTTGAATTCACACATCACTGTATTGGACTCACAAAATGACTTCCACTCAACTGCAACAGGGATACACAGTAAAAGCATGGCTACTCTTCCACAGGTATCTGATTACCATGTTGAAATGCTGTGATTGGGTACCCAAGATGCTTTGTTCACAACAGACTTTATCATTATAACAACACTATGACATTTTTATAAAACCTGAGGATTCAAAGTTTGAGATCAGCTGTTCACAAACTGAAGCATTACTTCATTTTTTACATCATTTACTACGTTATATCTGAATTCTGCCTATGACTCAGATAAAATGTTTTACCTAAAAATTTTATGAACTAAACAAAATTAACCTCTCATCAAAACCTGACATCCAGCACTTCATATCATCTACTCTCAAAGTCCTCTCCCCAAATCCAGGATAGAATCCACAACTGAGAGTACAAGGCACTCAGTGACTGAGGCATTTAGTAACACTGTTACTAAGGCTGGTGTTTACCCACTAGTTATATCATGTGATAAAGTACTATAGGACTGGTCTACAGTTTCAAGCCACCAAGGGCTTTACAGTGAGACCCTGTCTCGAAGACAACATAAATACATACAACACACATACATATAAATGTTAAATGAAATACACTGCCCACTAGCCAGCAAGAGTAGAGCAGACACTTAACAGTGTGGTGACGGGCCATAAAGTAAAATTCAATACATTTCAAAAGATTATCATCTCTTGGGATCCATTCTCTGGTAGTGATGGAACTGTAATTCAGTAATGTAGTCTTTAAAATCACCAAATAGGTGAAAATTAACATTTATAAATAACCTGTGAGTTAAAGACAAAAATGACAGCAGTGCTGGACGTTGGTGGTGCATGCCTATAGAAGGCAGAGGCAGGAGGAACTCTTGAGTTTGAGTCCAGCCTGGTCTACAGAACAAGTTCCAGAACAGGCTCCATAGCAATACAGAGAAACCCTGTCTCGAAAAACAAACAAAAAATCAAAAAAAACCAAAACCAACCAACCAAACAAAAAAAGACAGCAGAAAGTAGAATATTTAAATTGAAAAGACAAGAAAGCAAATCTTGCTATCAGTTTCTAATCAGTTATTCAATTTCTACAGAAAAGCCTGAAGAAGCCTGATGAGATTGTTTTTCATCATCATTAACCTTTTTCTCCCATCCCTTGTTTAGCAATTACTAACTTATGTATCAACAGATTTGTCTAGTCTGGAAATCCTGTATGTATAAATCATATAACCTGTATTCTACTGAGTCCGAATTTTTTTCAATTACCACAGTATTTTTAAGTTTCCCTTGTATTATGCAACAGTACTACATTCTTCTTTATTGTCTGTTTTTTAAGACATAACAGTAAAGTTACAGAAACCAGAGCAGTGAGGATTAGTCTAAGTACAGAATAGAATCCAGAAATAAAAGTGTCAGCACAGTGGCTCAGCAGGTAAACAAATTCACCCAAACCCTTATGGAGAGAATCAACTCCACATGGTTGTCCTCTGACCTCCACATGTGCGCGCGCGCACACACGTACAGTACCAAATAACACTACAAAGACAGACTTTTCAACAGATTGTTGGAACAATTTGATATCCATGTTATTTCAAAAGCAATAAAACTAACTTGTCACATCACACTAAGACCACGACACACAAACTAAAACTAGGAATATTTAAGAAGAAAATGCAGGATAATATATTTACAATTTTTTTAGACATGCCTAAAATTCATTAACTGTAAGAAAATGAAAAAGTGAACTTTACTAACACTGATCATTTCTCTGGCAGAGTGTTATGGCACATGGTTGCAGTCCCAGGACTTGGAAGGCAGAGAAAGGCAGGAGGATTGACAGCTCCATTTCTCCATGAGCTACATAGCAAGATCCCGTTTTAAAATTAAAACCAAAGCAAACAAAAACTTACTCCTTATCACCAAAAGATGAAGCTAAAAAAAAAAAAAGACAGCTAGACATGGTGTGCCTTTAATCCCCAACACACAGGAAGCACAAGTAGGTGGGTCTCTATGAGTTCAAGACCACCCTGGTCTACATAGCAAGTTTCAGGGTACTGAGACCCATCTTGAAAACAAAGAAACAAAGGACCAAACAAAACAGAATACAGAGATCTGGAGAAAATAACTGAAATATATAAATGTGCCAAGGGACTACCAATATAGCTCAGTGGGTAAAAAGTGCTAGCAATCTGTAAAGGAGGAAGGAGAGAACCAATGTCACAAAGTTAACTTCTAACTTTAACATTCACATCATAGCACACATGTACCCACTTACATAAATGTACACATACACACACACACACACACACAGTAAAAAATAATGCTAAACAAATACAAAACCAACCCAACTTTTAAAAAATGACAAGGTAGCTGGGCGTTGGTGGCACATGCCTTTAATCCCAGTACACGGGATGCAGAGGCAGGCAGATCTCTCTCTCTTTCTCTCTCTGAGTGGAGGGCAGCTTGGTCTACAGAGTGAGTTCCAGGACAGGCTCCAAAGTCACAGAGAAACCCTATCTTGAAAATCCTCCCCCCAAAAAACAAAACAAAACAAAAAAACCAAACAGGCTTGAGGCCTTCACAGAAGAATATGCTTGAATGCCCACATGAAAATATTTCATTATTCATCAGGAAATGCAGATGGAAACCATATATAACATGGACTCCTCAATTCATTCAGCAAAGATCTAAAATAATCTAGAACTCTTTTTTTTTCCTTTCTGTTCCAGAGCATGCTTGAATATGAAGAGAAGAAAAACCAAAACAAAGTTTGGATAAAAAGAAGACAGTTCTGGAACTCTGCAAATGTGGAATAGTTAAGGAGAAAAGTGGGTGATTGCAAAGGCTTTCCTGAGCCCTTTGGAGTGGGGAGGAGGCAGCAATATAATCACCTTGGAAATGTCAGAACTTACGGAGATTAGAGTTTTAAGGAATTCTAGAGGTTCTCATAGATCCAGGGTTAGTGGAAAGAGATATTGGGTGGGGGTAGGGGTGAGTCAAGAGCAGCCCTCCTATTTGGAGAGCAGCTGCCATGGTTCAGCCAGCTGTAGCTGTGGCACTCTGGGGGCCAAGTGACATAGAAAGAATAATAAGCTTGATAGCTGATGCTGATACAGCATCTCAGCTCCAGGAGATTAGAGGAGGGTGGTTTCTTGCTTGACGTCAGTGGAATGATGTAGCACTGTGATAGGTTTACCTTTGGATTCTTGCCCTCTTTGGCTAATAGGGCCCGAAGTCTTTCTTGGGAAGGTGGTGCAATGAAGATGATATATGGTTTCAGATCTGAATTCCGGAGAGTCTTCAAAGACTGTAAAGATATTTGGGTTTTAAAAAATAACTCTTATCATTAAATTACTTCTCAATAATATATATTAAGATGCCTATCAATGTTTTCAAACATTTCATCATAAATTATTCATTATACCTCGAGACAGCATCTTCATTCACTGAAAAACTATATAAATATAAATTCATATATATTATGTTAGTCTATTGTTCTATATACTAAAGTAGAGGTAAAAGACATTGAAGGGTTTACAACTGTATGATAATAAATCATGTGGATTATAACAGGCACATTAAAATTCATTTTTGAGGAATCAGAATCCAGGTAGTTGACTTTCTAGGTGAAGGTACTAAAAAGCATCACTTCCTATCCACAGGCCAAACACACCCAAGGTAGAGCAGACTGTGTGTAGTGAGAGACTGTGTTAACACGCTCTATCATGGCATTATGTGCACACTCAAGCTGAAGTACTCTAACAAGCAGTATTATACAGACATGCCCTTTCTTAGGTGAAGAAACATTAATATGCTAAACTATTTGAAGTCTTATGGTAATATCTGTTAATCCAAATAAAGAATACCAAAAGAAGTTTAAAAGTTTCCTTAAATAAAATGTGAATAAAATAGCACAAACCTAGTGCCTCTGCCCTCTAAAAACCCAGACAGACCCAAATTGAACAAAAAAAACCAATCACTATTTTAGGAAGCCATTTAAGAATCAACTTCTGTCTGTGTACATCCACTTAATGCCACTGGTTTTGTAGCTTGAGTTAATATCAGCAACAGATTTGGCCACATTTATTAAAGTTCTATGTTAAAGCTGAATCATTTATAAAAAACAAAACACTTCCATAGCAAACACAATCTTTAAAACCCCAATTTTCTAAAGGTAATGTTTAAATAGGAATCTAAGAGGCACTGGCTAGTAATTTTAAGTTTGGGTCTCTCTGTCAAAATTTTCTAATTTTTCTCAGAAAAGGTAGAGTCTTATGGTCAGTACTAAAGTTAACTTTATTTTAAGTTTCAAAAATATATACATGTTGAAAGTGAAAGATTTAGCTACATGTTTGGTTTTACAAAAAAAAAAAAAAAAAAAAAAAAAAAAAGGAAAACTGGCATGAGAACTTTAATCTTTTGTTCTTGGACCCAAAATCAGTTTTTACTAGATTAGTTCACAGAACATGCCCTCAAGTTCAACACTCTAAAACACAATTCTAGTTCACCTGTGTTCGAAGACTTAAAAGACATATTTTGCCAGAGTTGATCACTTGTCGTACAGAATCAATGCTGGTTCCATACAAATTTTTCTCAAATTCACCATGTTCAATGAACTTGCCAGCTGCTATATCTGCTTCAAATGTTTGCCGTGAAACAAAGTGGTAATCTCTACCAGCTACTTCATGGTCTCGTCTATTCCGAGTTGTATCTAAGCAAACAAAATCAGATAAAAGTAATAAACACAAGGGGCTCCAGGGAAGGATAGGAGGTTAAGAGTATATTTAGTTACCTTGATCCATTTTGTTTATACTGTAAAACACTGCCAAGTCAGTGTAAGTAAGTACTATGTAATCTTAAATTCATTTTCAGAAATTAGGTCCAAAATCTATCTTCAACATCAGTTTAAAGAATAAGGAATTTGGCTTCCTATGCAATAGGGAAAGGGGCTTAAACTAAAATTTCTTTAGAAAATCCTTTAGCTGGGTGGTGGTGGCACACATCTTTAATCCCAGTACTCAGGACACAGAGGCAGGCAGAAACCCTGTCTCAAAAAACAAAAACACTAACAAGCAAACAAAAAGAACTACCTTTAATAAAAATTTGCTATCAGGTTTGGTTAAACAAATTCCCTCTTTCATTGATGACACTGTTTCAATAAAACGAACATTTTCCCTGTGTAGTTAAGATTCTGAGAAAAGCACAGGAAAATGGGAATGTGTCCAAACTTACGAGGGACTGCAGATGCAAAGCGGTCTTTTTCTTTGTTCATGAGTCTCTGACGGAGTTCATTCTGGCCGCAGTTCTGTGGCCCAATCAAGATAATAGGTCTTTTCCTATTTGCTGGCTGATGGTAAAGTGACATTTCCTCATATGTTAAGATCTCTTCATTATCATAATCTTTGGGAAAGAAAGAGTTAAGAATTTCAGATATAGTTGATGCCATGTCATAGGTACTTTCTTACATAAAATAGCTAAGTTTTGTTGGCGGTGTTGTTTTGTTTTTGAGGTAGAAGCTTGCTAGCCCAGGCTAGCTTCAAACTCGTGGTGATCCTCCTGCCTTTGCCTCCCCCCAAGTGCTAAGATTACAGGTGTTTAAGCCACTCTGACTAATTTAAAAGTAACTACTTTGCAAATGAACACTGTAACAGAGGAGACTGCTAGGGGATAAGCTTACTGTAGGTGTCAGTTTCATAGACTCCATTTAATAAGGTTATTTTTAGGATCAGATAGAATGGAGAACAAGTATGGATAAATGTCTGCACACAATGGCCAGTGTATCTGAGAGTGCTAGAATGCTTTCCTGTACTTAACACAAGTTAAACATAAATTATACTTGTACTATTTATCTTCTGATCCAGAATCATGGCTCAAAATACGAACTATAAGGATTGGGGAACAGGAGAGGGATACAGATGAAGCCAAAGCTATCAGGTCAGAACAAAGGCAGGCACTTAGCAACCTGCATGAGGAAGAGGCATCAGAAGTTCCACAAGGAAGGGAACCTTTTTAGTCTTGCTAGTATCTAGCATAGAGTCGGAGCTCAGACTATATTTGTTTAAATTCTAACTCAACTGTTTAATTAGCTGTACCAATTTAAGCAGAAACTTTAATATCTGAACTTCCATCTCTTAGTTTGCAACCTCAAGGCATTTACTGTGAGACAAAAGTACATCGTTCATTGCTGTGGAGTGCAGCAGGTACTTTAAGTAGCAATGACAATTGTTGCTTTTCTCAAAGTCATTTTCTTCTGAGCTTCTAACATGTTCAATCATGCTGGTGGCATTCTGATTTCCAGACTTACTCATTTCTACATCTGGGAGCTTCAGATCTGCCAAGTATCCTACAAGTATCTATATTGTAGAATACTGATCAACTTGAGTCTGTTTTGAGAAATAAAGTAAGAGGTGCTGAGATGTGGCTCAGCAGTGGAACACTTGCCTCAATGTATTAGGTCTCAGGTTCAATTCTTTGAACAAAGAGAGATTGGAAATGGAGGCAGAAAGGAAAGAAAATAATGAAAACAAGGTTCATCCCCAGACTTAGATCTGAAATGTACTAGTAAACAAAGATATTAACCAGTTTAGTCAGTAAGATTAAAAACTTATTGAATCTTCTTAGTTACATAATATACTAAGCATAAAGGATGCTTGCTTTAGAAAACAATTATAAAAGCTGATTGAATTTTAGATTCAGCATCGTATAGAGTATCTAATAATCTAGCTGGGTGGTACACACCTTTAATCCCAGCACTGGGGAGGCAAAGGCAGGCAAATCTCTCTGAGCTCAAGGCCAGCCTGTTCTACATAGTGAGTTCCAGGACAGCCAGGGCTACACAGAGCAACCTTGTCTCAAAAAACAAACAAACTTTTCTCTTTAGTCTAATTTATGTTTCACATTTTTGATAAATAAGCCTTGCAGATATTTAAAACTGTGCTTCTGACTTATTATCCGGCTTTTCTAATGTGGACTAAAGCAAGGTTAAGAAATTTAAATGCAATGAAGACCAATCAAAAAGGTAATGGGGACAGAAAATAAGGAAAATCACAAGTGGTGGTGATGGCTGATCTAAGTTGTAGGTGCCCAATCAGAGCCATAGCTTTCAGTCAGTGAAGCACACTGCTTTCCCTGGGAACATAAGCCCAGTATTACCAGAGCTCTGGATTTTGAGAGATGTCATGACTTCAAAACTTCTAATCGAAGCAATCTGTCAAGGTAAGATAAACACCCCCGTGTGTTGGCCTTAGCCATAAGTGGTATGCTCTGCAGAATGAGCCTTTGTGACTTAAGATACTGCAGACATACTTTATATTTTACTTCAAACATTTTTTTTGAAAATTATTAGAGGGAAGTAATTTTTCAAACACTTTTAATAGAGGAAAAATAAAACTTACAGGATACAATTTAATATTATATATGTTATAAATACAACTCCTACAACACCTGATATAAGAACTTACCATCATTTTTATTAGCGTTATATAAAACTTTTTTCCTCTTCTTTTTATTCTTCTTTGCACACCACAGTTTTCCTGTTGATTAATCAAAAATAGTTATAAAAATAGTATGTATTTCCTTAAACAATGCTATTTCAAACTGATTTAAGATTTAACACTTAAACTGTTGACAAGAACTATTTTTAATTTGTCATTTTGTATTAGTCACACAATGTAGGCATGTAGACACATGCCTTATTTCATCATTTTTTTTTACATCTAAAGATAATGAGTTTTGCCCCTTCTATTACTCCTTTAATGCATCCACCTTTCTTTCTCAACAATTCTGTGTGTATATTCAACATGGTTCCAGATGCTTTCCCCACTACCAAATGCATGCATCTAACCTGATTTTTCTGGTTCCTTGTCTTCTTCTATGGTTTGCTTCATGGCTTCCCTTTGCTGCTGAAAGCTTTTCCCTTAATAACATGAAGAGAAAGAACAGTAAAACATTTAAGATAAAAGGATAAAAATATTTTTAATCAAAGAGAAAACATTAGTAATTTTTCACACTGCCTTACAAACCCTTTTGCCAACACAAAAATAATTCCAGTTAAGATATATAGCCTAAAAATGCCATACCACCCTGAACATGCCTCATCTTGTCTTTTTAATATTTATTTTATTAATTATGTGTGTGTGGCGTGTATGCATTGTGGATACTGGGAACAAAATTTGGGTCATTTAAAGAGCTGTAAGCAGTCTTAATTGATGAGTCTCTCATGTTCAAGCCTGTAAATGTTAAAATTTTGACTCAGCTTTTCAATCTAACCATACGTATTACTTATTTATCATATATTATGAAAAGATAAATAATAGACTAGTATCAGAAAACTAAATAGTTGAACTTTAAAAAGGTTTCAATGAACATTCCTATATACAAAAGTACCATGCTGGGACATATAATGATTCTGCTCACTGAGAATTATCTCAAATCAAGACATTAACTTTCAAAGTACTATGTAGCCATTCATTATTTTCTGATTCCAAGATGCCAGTCAACATACGTATTCACTGACATTTATTATTCATGTATGTTTTTGTTTTCATGTATGTGTGTGTGATAATGATTTAATTTCTACCTCTTTATCAATGATACAAAGAAAGAGATAACACATTTTTCTCAATGGATTAAGATTTTAGGTTTTCAGTGTGACTAACCTTCATTTTCTCAGTTCTTTGCCTTCAAATAAATTAGGGGAGGAGATGCTATGGCCTCTGCCTAGCTAAGTACCCTCAGTCCTTCAAGTGCTTTCAATATTGTCTCTTACCTGGAACAAGTCCAGCTAGAGGCTGATTATCTTCGTCCCCCTCTCTATAGGCCTGCCACCAATTCGGATCTTCCTGGCTGATCACATGAAGTATATCTCCTTTTTGAAAAGACAGACCTAACTCTCGACATGGAACATAAGGGTCATCCGAGGGGTCATAGTCAAAATGAGCTTTTACATGGATCTGAAATGAACAGGGTAAAAATGAGAGCAAGAATAAATTAAATGGTAAAAGAAATATCTAGCACAAATGTGCCTACACATTACAGCAGTTCAGAGAAATGAATTAAAAGGGCATTTAGCTAAGTTACAACACTTTAGTGTACGATTTGCTTAAGCTCATCTGTTGACATCTTTGTATTACAAAGAAGTAGCAGAGTGTTCAAACTGGGTTACTGTTAACAGCTAAGAAAGGTACATCAAGGGCAAGGTAAACAGAACAGAAACAGTCTTCCTCAGTAAGGTAAACAGCTTCAAACTACCACCATTGGAAAAGGCAGATTAATCTCACCAGGTCCCATGTTAAATTTCCCTGGGGCTGTCACAGCCAGTGAACTTCATGATTGGTGCAACTATACCTCTGCTGCTCAGTGTTTCTTTTGAAGTGCATGTAACTAGCATGTTCCACACTGCTAAATTATCTAAATCATGATAGGAAAAATATCCTTGCCATATTTGATCCAAGTTTATGCAATTCATTTATAGAAAATAAAATGTAAAGGAACCAGAGTTTCTAGAAATGAGGACAATGTTTATGCTGGGTGTGGGGTGGCCTACAAGATGAATAGTGGCTAAAGGGCATATAAGGTGGGGACTTTAGATGCTGATGACATTCTGGTTCTTTAATTGGGTGTTTGCAAATATGGTTAAAATGCTCTGTCCAATTTTCAAGTGGAGTTCTGTTTAAGAGAATTTCCTAGGGAACTTTCTATTCTTGATATGAAAATAGACATTTGATGTAATTCATATGCTACACAGTTTATAGTTTTAGTATATTCAGAGACAGGCTAATCTTCGATACTGTTAGACTACTTTTTAACTCTCCTGCACTAAATACTAATGAGGGACTATTCCTGTTCTCTCTCAATTCCCAAATCGAACATCAAATATCTCACTGTACAGTCAGATATACTATACTATATTTTCTAATGAATGCTGGTAGCTATTTTTAAGAGGTTTGTTGTTGTTTTTTAATTTTTGGCTCTAACAAATACCTGCATGAATACATAAATATATGTTTCCAATTCTCTTGGATATATGCTGAGTTGTACAATAATCAAGTCTATTATTTAATAGAGCTGAGTTAAATATTTAACACACAGCAATACACTAAAGTAAGGAGTTCCACACATTTGTAAAAGTACCTTTCTCCTCTATGTTACTGAGCTAAAGTCAATTATAACTGTAGACAAACATCAACGTTAACAATAATAAAGTACATTGGATATCTTTTAAAATGTTCAGAGTTTACTAAATTTCAAATGTTTACATCTTACAATTATTTAAATAAAATCACCCAATTTCTCTGTTTTTACTTGAACACACTATACAGTGAAGTTTCTGATACAGCAAAGTAGAAGGAACAAAAAGTAATAAGTATTTAAACATTACTTACTACAGTTTCTTTGGCAGGAGGAGGTTTGATTTGTTGACTAGGAATCAGAACAAATGTCAAAGTACCATGCATATCAGACTGTAACAGAAAGGTTGAACTATTTTAGAAATATTTCTGAAAATCATTCCACAATGATCACACTCCCTAAACAGGATGATCCAAGTCCTACAGGAAAATGGTTTCCATTTCCCAGATTCTTTCCTATTCAGTTTTTCTGCCCTACTGTTTACTGTATCGAATTGTATGGCTAGATTTGTAATTGCTGCCCAATATAGCACTAGCCGTTTTCAGACATATCCAGCCTAGGCAGCAATCATCACAATTTTTGGTACTGACAAAGCAGAACAATGCTCAACCTGAGACATCCACCAATAAAACAGACTACAAGTAAGGAGTAATAGCACTTTGCTCTACTAGAGCAATGAGCTGAGATTTGGTGAAAAGAGGGATATGGATATTTTCCAGATTTTATTAATCAGCAGGCAGTAGACATACCACTGTAACACAGATGCTAAATAATTAAGAATATAAACATTATTTGTTGCTGGGAGTAGTGGCTGATGCTTGTAATTACAGCATGGGAAGAGAATCACCAAAAGGTCAGTCTGGGCTACATAGTGAGTTTTACTTCAGCCTAGGTTAAGAATGAGACCTCATCTTCAAAAAGAAAAAAGAACCATACTAATTTGTACTTCTGTACAATATGATCAAAAATCATTCTCAAAATACAATTACAAATGTAGTACTCAGGAGGTATGGGTAGGTGCATCTCTCTGAGTTCAAGGCCAGCCTAGCCTACATAGTGAGTTCCAGGACAGCCAGGACTTTTATATAAAACCAAGAAAAGAAAGAAAGAAAGGGTGGGAAGGAGGAAAAAAAAAAAAAGATGGCTCATCAATGAATTTGGGTTTGATTCCTAGCACCCATAGCATGGTTTACAACCATATATAACTCCAGCTGTAGGGGATCTATTGCCCTTTTCAGACTTCTTAGATACCAGGAATGTACATGGAATATATACATACATGCAGACAAAACACTTATAACACAAATCTTAAAAAGTTCTTTTTATAAAGATAATTAGATGTGAATACCTCATTAGACTAGTACTGCCCAACAGAATTTGCTCAACAGAAATGTGCTGTGGCTATCTCTCAGGATGACAGCCATTAACTACACAATAAATCTTGTTCAATTGCAGCTAGTGAGAATAAGAAACTGAATTTTAATTCACTTCACACCAGGCATGCACAAAGTGTATAGACATGCATAAAATAAAAACAATCTTTTTTAAAGTTGTTATAATAAAGCCAAAGTAAATAAAAACAAACTCAAAACCAAGAATAAAATAACACAAATTGAAAAATGCTATAAAATTAGGCTAAAGACTATCTTATACTCATCAGTTATTTCTAAAAAAATACTCTACTATATTCCCTTCTAAGTTTAGTAACAACACAGGTTTTTAAATGAATCCATTATTATTCAATGGTCTGAACGTACCAATAAGTCAAAAACCTCATTGACATCTTTCCCCCGGATTTCAATGCCGTTGATCTCCAGAACTTCATCTCCTTCATGTAAGAGCCCACTCTTTTCTGCGGCACCTCCTTTCACTATACGGCTAATGATGACAGAATCCATTTCATTACGAACAGTGGCACCCTAAAAACACCCAACATCTAATTTAAACATAAAAATGTAATTTTTTTGTTAAGCATTTCATTTTTAAATTCTGTTTTTTCATCTAATAAGCCTAGCTTTTAATTTATGTTGAGAATAAATTTACTCACATTGCTACAGTAATAACTAATCATATGTGAAAGCAATGCATCCCTCCCAAACATTTTCTGCTTCAGAAATACTTTATTCATTAAACTTCAGAAAAAACACAGATTTTCGAAGTATATAATAACAGAGAAAAATGTATTCAGTGTTTAAACACATAAAATGGTAATTTTCTGGATCCTATTCTGATAGCTAGAAAACATCTAGGCATAATTAAAAAACACACTGCCTAACTATAAGAAATTTCTTAAATTCAAAATACAATTAAAGGATAAATAGCAATATGGTTAATTATGCAAATGTTAAATACAGCTTCAGCCAGCTCACAGTAAGTTGTATTAAATACTAATATTTATACTCAAATTGGAAGTGAAAAAGTTTATACTCAAAAACTAGAAATATAAGATATAAAATAAAACTTATTTTCAGGGGCTCAGTGGTTAATAGCACTTACTGTTCCTTCAAAGGACCTGGGTTTTGCTTCCAGCACCCACACTGGACAGCTTACAAGCCCCTGTAAATCAGGTTCCAGGGGATCCAACTCCCTTTTTTGGTGGTTTCATTTACCTACCATGTATGTGATACACATACACACACTCAAGTACATATACATAATAAGCAAATATTTTTAAAAAACACCTAATTTTTCTTAAGAATTTACTTTAACATTGTCATAACTTTCCTCTTTATTCTCCTGGAACTAGTTATGTAAACTGCTTATACATTCTTTTTAAAAAATAATTTCTTACTGTATTGTGGGTGCGTGCATGCATGCGTGTGCATGTGTGTGTGCAGTCATGTGTGCTCCAGAAGTCCTCAATCACTCTCATATTTGGAGACAAGGTCACTAAACCTGGAGCTGACTGATTTGGTTAGGATGGGGGGCTGCTAGCCAGGCTCCAGAGAAGTCTGTTTGTCTCTGAGAGAATTGGGATCACAGTCACATGCCATCATTTTGGCTCTTCAGAGATACTGGGGTGCAATTTCATGTGTACCCAGCAAATTATACCAAGCATGCGTACCAAGCACACGTACCAAGCACGTTCCAATTAAGCTATCTACCTAGCTTCCAAAGATTAGATTTTTAGATTGTAAAGGGTAAGTTGAAAGAAAATTAGTTACCTCTTCTTGATCCTCAGTTAGTATTTTATAAGCTATTATTTTCATTAAATTAGAAGTGAGAAAAGGTAATGAATTTAGTTTTTCAACCAAATAAAGGTTTTGAGCAAGAACATACTAGATCTCCAACAAACTGACCCACAAAGAGAAAACTCTCCAGAATGTAACAAGAATCTTAACTTGCAACTTTGCACAGAGGTGGGAAACTTACCAATGGAATGTCACGAGCCTTTTCTATACGAACGATTTTTACAGTTTCTCCTCCATACTGGCCGATACTTTCATACACTCTCTCATCTGTAATAGGCTCTAGCTGCATTTCCTGCTCAGCAACTTTATCATGGGCCAGTAAAAGTGCCTGTTTAAAAACAAACAAACAAAAACCACACAGGACTTAAGAAAGAACACAACTGTAGTAAGACTCATGCACACAGTATTATGACCAAGTCTTCAAAGGCTTAAAATGCCACAGATAATCATGCAAGGAATTTTTGCTCAGTTTTAAAGCAAGCTATTTAAAAACATGATTTGGATAGTTTTACATATGAAAATAACCCAACAATATAACCCAACAATATAACCCAACAATAATTACTTTGCAGAGAGGGTTACAAACACAAATACTGAAAACATATACAGTGTTCTGTGCTTTGTCTACCTGAATATGTGGAGCATTTAACAAAGCGGTTAATTCTTGTCCTTCCTTCTGATGGACTGGCTTTAAGACAGTTTGTACCTAAGAAATTAAAAAAAACAAAACATTTATAATTGGTTCTCATAGGAATTAATAGCAGCATCTATGTAATGCAATACTTTTATTTTTAAGTGAGAATCAAAGAAAAAGCACTTATAGTGAAGAAAAACACTAAAGAGATATATGAATATAAAACCCTTTCTCCACAGAACTTTCAATCTTGTCATGGCTAAAAATTACATTTTTTTGAAAGCATACTTCAAATATGGTATTTACATCTACAAATGAACCATTTTAATTTCAAAAGTTTCCAACACAGCATAAAATACACTAATGACTGCATGTCAGATGATCTGCTCTACGGTTAGTCATCATGCTGCTTTAGAGACTTCAAATCCTATGTTTTAAGAACTACATTAAAAATCTGAGATGTCAATTTAAGGTTATAGACTTTCAAGATAAAATGTAGTGATGTTGGGCAATGTGTTCTTAAGATAACCCCAGTTACAATGTTCAGGCCTCTGTGTCTTTCCTTATATGCAAGCTGATCCCCATCATGTAGGGGCCTTCAAAGACTAACATGACCTCACTGTGTGTCTGCATTTGCGTTCTTTCTTTCCTAACACTGCCAGACAGCTTAACTTATAGGTATTGTCTACTTTCCTGTCCTTTTCAAAGAAGCAGGTTCTAATGTAATGATTATCTATTCTTCCTGTTAAGGAATTTAACTACTCTTCCCTATTCCCTTGGTTTCTAGTTACTTGAACTAAAACTTAAGTCCACTTATTTGCAATTTTCAATCTTCTACCAAAGAATATTGAGGCAGGCATGTTTCTCTACAGACTACTTTCTCCCAAAGGTTTACTGTGTGCTCTTACTGCTCATGCCTGAGCCTTTGTACTTCCAAACCCCATTGCCACTCAAAAATGGTACACAGCAACAATGTGGATTACAAAACCAAAATTATCACTATTAATGAAAGGATAGGAGTAACCAATGATTAACAGGAATTATATATCCTTTATGGCTACTTTATTAGCAATTCTCTGATTAAACCTATGAGATGACAAGATGAGGACCGATTTTACCACAACAAGCAAACCAAAGCAACGAGAAGAGCTAGAGAGGTGGCTTAACAGTTAAGAGTGCTTGCTTTCTTCTAAAGGATTGGAGTTTGATTCTCAGCACCCATAGCAGGCCGCTCACAACCACCTGTAATTCCAGATGAAGGGGATCTGATGCCTTCCTCTGGTCCCTGCAAGTGCTCACATCTACATGTACACACATCTACATGTACACACACACACATACACCAAAATACTAAAAAACTGACAGTGCTGGATATGGTAATGCATGCCTTTAATGTTCCCACTCTGCAGGTAGGAGGATCCCAGTGGGTTCCAGGTAGGCGAGGGCTAACCAGTGAAACACTGCCTATCAAAGCACTGAAACTATTCTGTCCCCCAGTTTGGGTACCTGAAAACTATAAGACAGTGAAACTTCATGTAAACTACACAAGTTAATTTAAAATTTATAATCCCTGACTAAAATACCTTTCTACCACTGGAGAAAGCAAATCTGAGAGGGAAACACAGTTTTGAATCTAAAATTATATCAAGAATTTATAAAAGCTACAAATCAACTCAATAATAATGTTCCATGTACAACTTTTTTGTTTCTACTTTTAAGTCAGTTCCTAAACATCTCTGAAATCTTTCTTTAAAAACAAACAAAACCCCAGCACTCAGGAGACAAAGGCAAGCAGATCTCTGTGAGTTTGAGGCCAGTCTGCTCTACAAAGTGAGTTCCAGCACAGTTGGGGCTACACAGAGAAACCTTTTCTTGAAAAAATAGAAACAAAACTAGAACTCTGATAAATACCACTTTCTCTGCCAGTAAGCCCAGATGTTATCTATTCTAATGTCAGCATACATCATTAGCTGCATTTACAGGGCTGAAGGAATTGAAGGACTGTTCTTATACGTTACTGGCCCCTTCCCATCAGCCTATAATCAGATGTATTAAAAACTCAAGACTGCAAATCTTTTACAATGAAAACAGACCTGACCAAGTATTAAAGACAGAAATAGCCAATAACTACACAAAAATCGTCAGTAATCATGATGGAAACGCAAATTAAAACAAGCACCCCCACATCACATACCTGAGGATTAGTCACCGGAAAGCTGGCAAGATGGTTCAGTGGGTAAAGGCGCTAACAACTAACCTGACAACCCAAGTTCAATTCTCAGAATCCACATGGTGGAAGGAGGGAACTGATTACTGAAAGTTTTGCTCTGATTTCCACACTCACACCACAGCACATACATGTACACACTCACACTCCACAAAAAATAAATGTGAAAATAAATTTAAAATGAATCAGTAATAGCAAACAACCAATCTCTCAGCAGGTTTAAGTGACTAAACACAATGTGAGACACACACAATACACTACTCAGAAAACATTAGATACTACTGACTGGGGCTGGGACTTAAATGAGTGTTAACATGCCTATCATGTAAAGTGTTGGATTCAATTTGATATATGTACAAAAGAGATGAACCTCAAGATTACAATGGAGGGCTGGAGAGATGGCTCAGAGGTTAAGAGCACTAACTGCTCTCCCTGAGGTCCTGAGTTCAGTTTCCAGTACCCACATGGTGGCTCACAACCATCCCTGATGAGGTCTGGTGCCCTCTTCAGGCTCAGGCATACATGCAGGTAGAACACTGTATGCATTAAAAAAAAAAAAAAAAAAAAAAAAAAAAAAAAAAAATTACACTGAGCAGAGGAAATCAGAAATCAGATGCAGCCATGGTGTGTGGGGTATGTGTGTATGAGTTATAACTTTGCCAACCACCATGGCAATGGAGCCAGATGTCTCACATTCCTTCTGCCATAATGAGCTATCCCAATGAGGGTAAGCTATGTCCTCCCAAACCCTGTCAGTCCAAACAAATCCTTCCCATTTAAGTTGCTTCTTGTCAGATACTTAGTGACAATGACAAGAAAAACAACTAAAGCAGACACAAAAGAGTATTGTGTGTAGTGAGATATTCACTCTGTCTGCACCTGTTGCACTGACCACGCCCTCTGGGGGTGGGGACAGGTGCAGATGTGACCTGGGGAACTAGGGCTGAGGTAGGGACCCTGGAGTGCTCTCTCACTTGCTGGACAGAGACAGAGAGCATCGGAGGCATCCTTGGGACAGGAACTACTGGTGTTCATCTGTCTCTGTTGTAAGTTATTTCTCCCTGAATAAACATCTATTCAGCCTATCTGTTTTTCCTGATCCTTATTATTACACGTTAACTGTGTTTTAGTTGAAATGCTCATAAATGACAAATTAGTAAAGCAGGAAGCAGATTAGCATATGACAAAAGGGTAGAAGAGGTGGAGAGAGCTTTGTATATGGTGGACATTTAGTAACTTGGTGGTAGGTGGTAGATTTCATGGGTGTATATACAGACATTTACACTGAAGCTACTGCAAAACACTGATTTTTACTAAATACAGACTATCTCAATAAAGCTGGACATATTATACCAAAGAAATCTCTATGTATACAGTTACTCCTCAGTATCACACAGAATTACTTATAGGAACTCTTTTTCTATACCCAAATCCAACTTCACTCGAGTCTCTTCTACAAAAAGGCAGAGTATCTGAAGGTAACTAATATACCTTTCCATCCATATACTTTAAATCACCCCCCTCCCCAGTAATACCTAATATAATGTAATAGCTGTATAGCATCGTGAATAACAAGGGGAAAAAAGTCTGTGTTCAGAAAAGATTTAAATTCTTTTAACAAACTAGGATGACTCTGAGGATGGACAGCCCAATGACACAGAGGGGCAATTATCCATCCTTTTTGTTTGTTTTTGTACAGTGCTTGGGCATCACACATGCTAGGCAAGCACTCTAGCACTGAGCTCCATCTTCAGCCCACTTCTACCAAAATGAAACCATACTGTTGAAACCATACTGTTCAAACTGCTTTTGTATGAGTATTGTATAACTATTTGATTTAATTCTCAATTATAAGACAGAAAATGACCACTGTATCTTTCTCTGTCACTAACAGGGTCGAGTCTAAGATCCTTAGCATTAAGTACCATCTGATTCTTAACCTCTTTTCCAGTTCTGGCATTACTCATGCATTTAGGGTCCACTACAAATCCAGTGCTTCATAAATGCCATATTGCCTCTACAATCCCTGTGATCATGCTACCACAACATAAATTACACACACACACACACACACACACACACACACACACACACACACACACCAGTATTTCAAAATTAAAAAAAAATCAAATTCTATTTCCTGATACGTTGGCTTACATTTTGCTCATAGATAAGCAAAAATGTATTTCACAATGCTTCAAATAAGTATACTTCAAAAAAGTATAACTACAAAATGTGCTTTTTATTGTCTAAGAATTAGATTATTAAAGATTTAGTATGGATGTTAGTATTTTGAATTTTTAAAGTCTTTATTATTTATCACCTAATAGTAAATATTTAGCTGAGTTTTTTTCCACTTTCTTTTTGGAAATATTAAGGAAGGAATCCAGGGCCCTCTACCACTAAGTGCCACCTCCAGCCCTTCATTGTTATATACGTAAGTATTTAACCATTAATGTATTTATTCCCTCTGTGTATGCATATGTGGGTGCATACATGCCATGGCACGCATATGATCAGAAAACACATTTTAGAAGTCGAGTCTTTCTTTCCCGTGTTTGCTCCAGAGCTTGAACTTAGGACATTTCTCTTGGTGGAAAGTGTCTTTACCTGCTGAGCCATTTCACCAGTCCTTTAATTTATATTTTCAGCCTTAAAAACAAAGCATCCCCCCTCCCCACAGAAAAGGATTTCTCTGTGTATCCCTGGCTTTCCTGGCACTCACTCTGTAGGCCAATCTGTCCTTGAAGTTGGAGATCTACCTGCCTCTGTCTCCTAAGTATACTGGGATTAAAGGGTGCAACATCATGCCAGCCCCAAAGAACACTTCTCAATGCTTCACTAAATTTGTTAAGATTTTTCAACATTACATTTCCATTTAAAAATGATACTAGGGAATGGAAGATGGCTCAGATGTCAATAGCACTTGTTGCTTTTGGAGAGGACTTTAGTTTGGTTCCTAGCACCCATGTCAGACAGCTCATAGCCACCTACAATGCTAGCTCTAGGGTATTGACTCTCTCTTCTGACCTCTGAATATCTGCAAACATGCATATGTGCACACACAAATATACATAAATAAAAATTTAAAAATCTTTAAAAATGACACAACTACAAAGCAGGATGTAATTTCATATATATAAGAGTACTTTTGATTTTTGCGACAGTTCCACTATGTATGGTAAAGTCCAGACTGGTCTCAATTAGCTATGTAGCTCAATCTTGGCTTTGAAGTCCCTTTTGATCCTCCTGTTTTTACCTCCTGAGTACTGGGACTACAGGTATGTATCACTGCTCTCAGAAAATTTCTTCTTTTATTTATTTTACTTTATTATTTTTTGTGGTGCTGTGGATTTTATATAGGGCTTTGCATGTGCTACACAAATAGTGTACCAATGAGTGACATCCTCAGTCAAATTTCTTCTAAATGCTACACATTAAAACTGGTGAATTCTGCCTGGTGATAGTGGCATGTGTCTTAATCCCAGCACTCAGAAGGCAGAGGTAGGTGGATCTCTGCGTTGTAGGCCAGCCAGATCAAAGTCATGCTATTTCAATCTTTTGTTTGTCCAGATAGGGTTTCTCTGTGTAGCCCTGGCTGTTCTGGAACTCCCTCTGTAAATGAGGCAGATCTTGAACTCACAGAGATCCAACTGTCTCTGCCTTCTGAGTGCTAGGATTAAAGGCATGTGCCACCATGCCTAGCTCAATCTGTTCTTTAAAATAGTAATTTTCAGGAAAACTGTTTAAGTTACCTTAAGTAAATAAAAAAATTAAAGAAATGGAATAGAAGTGGTATTTTTAAATTAAAAAAAAAAATGAATTTCCTGTGATGCTAGGGATTGAACCTAGGGCCTTACATATGGTAGACAAGTGTTAGAATACCAAGCCACACCTTGTGCTCAACAATTCCCTCAATGAAAAGAATACCACACAACCAATTTCAATAGTAAAAGGTAAGTTCAAGGAATAGGAAGGAGTCAATCAGCTCTTTGAAACTCTGATAGATGGCCCATTCCTTCCTTTCCAGAAACAGTTCCATACATTACTCTGCCCTGGACAACAGCAGACCTCTCTGTTACATTGTATGTTAAGTTTTGCTATCTTTGGCATTTCAACAAGGAAAACACCTTCCTTAGAGACACTATGCTCATATATAATGTATCTCCTAACCTAACCTATAGTCTATAGCTCTTAGAAATTGTACTCACTCCTAGCCCCTTTTCTATATTTTATGTGGACTCAAAGAAATAAATTTTTTGATGTTTTCAGAATAATTTTTGTAAGATTAAAATAACCTGAAATTCTATAATGACAGGATGTATACTAGTCTCAAAGCAGAGCTTATTTGTAATACTTTAAAACTTTCAATTTGAAAGATGCTTAGAGACATATTAAACACTGAACATCAACTAGCATCTAAACCTAGAATTTAAAAGAAGCATGTTAACTAAAGAAACTTTTATAGAACAGCAGTACTGGATAATATGGGCTGGAGAGATGGTCAGCGGTTAAGGAACTGGCCTCTCTTCCAGGGGACCTGGGTTCAGTTGCCAGCACCCACATGGCATCTAACAACTGCCTGTAATTCTAGTCCCAGGGGATCAGACTTCCTCTTCTGGCCTCTATGGGAACAGACATACATGCAGATGAAACACATCTACACATAAAATAATAAAAATTAATAATCTGACTATTTGTACTATTTTCATTAGAAAACCCCCAAATTATCAACAATGTATCTTATATATTTATAATCCCTAATTAGGGATTATCATTTTATGTATTTATAATATATAATGGTTAAAACCATACTGAATGCATTAAAACTGAAACATTTGTTACTATCCATACTTTATACAAAATTAACTCTGCGTGATCAGTATTAACTAGGTTATACTTTCAGAACATAATGCATGCATGTTTTTTTTCTCATTGCCTATTGTAATACATTAGCAGGTGCCAACCATCCACTTTATTGTGACTAATAACTACCCTATACAAGATGTTTAAACACGTACCTCTTGTACAAGGTCTTGTACATTGGAGATAAGAGGAAACGGAGGACTGGCCTTGTTCATGTGCACTGTGACAGCATTGTGTATCTTGAAGGCATTCTGAAAATCTTTGTTTTGTACAAGTTGTAAAAGCAGTGAAATATCCTCCTGGCTCTGAGAATCAACCAAAGTGTGTTGGATATGTTTAAGTGAAGAAAACAAGTCTTCAACTTCTAGTAGGAAAAGGAAAGTTGTCCCCAAATTAATTGTTTTAGTTTAAATTCAACATGTTTTAAGATAAAATTTCTTGAACCAATAAAACTTTGTAAAAATAATTTGCATAGTTTTAAGTGTCTATTACTATTATTTTACTAACACTACATAAAACTTAAAACTATGAAACACAATAACATGCATTTTAAGAAAGCATTTTAATTAGAAAAATACATGAGGGAATGCAGAATTAAAGTTAAAAATATCAATAAATCCACTATCTAGGAATATTTTCCCTCTTAGCATCCTTTTTCATTTAAGAGTACATTGTAATTGCTCTCCCACAACATTAGTTTTAAAAGAACATTACAAGTAATGGGTCTGTCATATCTTACATGGCTAAAGCACAGCTTATAATAATCATTATATTAATGTTCAACATCTAGGATGCTTCCATTTTAACTATCATAAGCAATAACAAATATTCCAGTACAAAAACCATCGGTGCATATAAATCTTTCTGAGATTCCATTAGATGATTTCTAGAAACAGGTGCTGGAAAGATGGCCTAGTGGTTAAGAGCACTCACTGGCACCCAAGCACCCACACTGCAGCTCACAACTGTTTGTAATTAAAGTTCCAGGGGACTGACACACAGTTCTGACCTCTGCAGACAGCTGGTTTGTGTATGTGGTGCACATACATACACAGTGGAAAATACACATACATAGAAAATAAATAAATAAATACACACATACATTTTAATTCCTAGATATAAAACTTGTACTTAAGATTTTGACATTTTAAAACCCCAGCACTTGAGAGGCATAGCCTATTGGATTTAAATGAGTTTGAGGCCAGCCTGGTCTATAAAGTAAGTTCCAGGACAGTTAGGACTGTTACACAGTGAAACCCTGTCTTGGGGAAAAACAAACAAACAAACAAACTCATTTTAGAGAGATTTTGCTAAATTATATTAATTAGTAATGCCTTTACCAATGTTCAATATCATTTGCAAAATGAAGCGTATTCACATTATCAACACCTTAGGGTGTCTACTGCTGTGATCACACACCATGACCAAAAGCCACTTGTGGAGGAGGAAAGAGTTTATTTCATCTTACACCCATAGAGCAATCTGTCACTGAGGGAGGTCAGGGCAGGAAAGCAGACAGGAGAGGAATCTGAAGGGAGGAACTGAGGCACAGAACACTGCCTTCCTGGCTTGCTTCCCCTATGCCTTTGTTCAGCCCGCTTTCTACAGCTCAGGAGTGACACCACCCAGATTGGGCTGGGCCCTTCCATATAAGTCATCACTTAAGAAAAATGCCCCACAGACATGCCTACAGGACAGTCTAATGGAGGTGTTTTCTCAACTGGGTTCCCTCTTCTCAAATAACTAGCTGGCATTATGTTGACAAAACAAACTAGCTATCACAACCAACTATTTTTGTTGTCCACAAAACTAATGAACGTGTCTTCTAAATTGTGAAAGTTTCTGATGTCTGTGTGTTTTTTATGCCTGTTAGTATGCACACAGCATATTCATTTTTCCAGGAAATGATTAGGCCCAAAGATTAAGAGCCATTAGTAGTTTCTCCCCTGCTCCTCAACAGGGATTTGTGTGTGTGGGAGTATTAAAAGGAAAATGCTTTAAAGCTTTTAAAAATCTTGACTTTTAAAATTATCCACAAGTTTCAGCACATATTCCATTCTCTTTTTTCTTATTTTTCTAAAATGAAAAGTCCCTTTGTGATTTTGACCAAAACCAAGTTTATACATGAGTGGGAAAGACATATAGTGGACATTGTTATATAAGTCACATGGGGAAATGTCTTAATTCTTACTGGTTCTGAAGAAAAGCTACTGACTTTCATTCCTTCATCTTGTATGCCACCAACTTAACAGCCATTAATTTTTTAAAATTTACACTTTATTTTGTGTATGCAATGCATGCGTATGGAGATCAGAGGACAATTGCAGGTGTCAATTCTTACCTTCCATTATGTGGGTTGAACTCAGGTCGTCAGTTAACCCACTGAGTTAAATTTTAGACAGGCTCTAAAAGCAATTCAGTTGATTCTTGAAGTTTATTGTTCTTCCATTCCCAAATCAAAACAATCCTAGTGGCCCTGGTTTTGCCACACGCTCGTGCGCGCACGTGTGTGTGTGTGTGTGTGTGTGTGTGTATGTGTGTGTGTGTCCACACCCTTCATTAAGTACACAGTACAATGAGAAAGTACATGGTTATCCACATTTTAAAATGAATCCAAACTGGGAAAAACTACAATGCCCTAGGAAACTATACCAGAATTAAGTAAGACTTGAAGAGAGCGAGTTTAGGCACAAATTATTATTGTATTTATAAGAGTAGATAAGAATATGGAATTTAGGACTCTACCAAATTCCAAAAGGTGACCATATTAATAATCATTTTAAGACATTTAAGTAACTTAAAAGAAAAAATTATGAAATCTACAGAGCAGTTGAGATAATTGTCCACAGTCTTCAGGGAACCACAGAATCTTCTCAAAGTGGAGGGAGTCTTATTAAACTGTTAATGACTGTTAAAAGAGGTTCAGGGTGTTCGTCTTGGAAATGAGATGAATGAAGAGCCATAGGCCCCACTGCTGACTGAAACTAATAAGCAACTTAGTCCAGAAGGGAACTTCTCAGAGTCTCTGCAACTCCAGGGAGAATGAAATTATTTTAAGACAAGAAAGTTGTTGGAGAATTTTTCCTGTACACTAAAACTACTTAACAATGGCATACCTGATGGGAGATGTGATTCTATAAATATGTTTCTCATACTGGTTAATGAATAAAGCACTCTTGGCCAATAGGAAAGGAAGATAGGAGGGACTAGGAGACAAGGAGGAAAGAGGAAGTAGGAAGGAGGAGTCAAAATGGAGAGACTGGGGAGACAAGACGCTGGCCCCTTTCCCCGGTAAGAAGACCACGTAGAAATATTAGATTAACAGAAATGGGTTAATACTTAAGACAGCGATAGCGGATAAGAAACAAGTAACCGGGCCAACAGCATTGTATCAAATACAGAGTCTCTGTGCATTATTTGGGGTTGGTGCGGCAGTGGGACAAGACTAGGCAGCAGGAGGAAAAACCCGTACTCCTTACACATACCAATACTATATTTTTAAAAATTATCTATTTTTATCCATTTGTTACAATTAATGGCATTATTTTATATTTTCACCAATTTGTTATCATTACTGGTATTATTTCATACTACAGAGCTTTTCTAGTTTTTTTAAAGGCAGATCTAACCATACAGTGACACAGTTAATTTTGTAATTTAAATACTAATTACTCATTAATTCCTAGAGTAACCATACTGAGATAGTAGAAACACTTAAGGCTTTGATACATAGCCGGGCGTCGGTAGTGCACACCTTTAGTCCCAGCACTCAGGAGGCAGAGGTAGGCAGATCTCTGTGAGTTCGAGGCCAGCCTGGTCTACAGAGCTAGTTCCAGGACAGGCTCCAAAGCAATATAGAGAAACCCTGTCTCAAAAAACCAAACCAAAAAAAAAAAAAAAAAAAAAAACCAAAAAAACCCAAATATACACTGCCAAATTGCCTCCCAGATTTGTGAGTGCCTGCTTTGAAGCACAACAAATTAGGGATTACTGATCTTTTATTCTTTGGTAAATGTATTTTTATAAGACATGACCATTTGTATTTCTTTTTTATTTAATTTGCTCTTCATAACTAGAATTTTACTGATTATACTGGTATTTCTGCAGCCTTAAGTGAAACATACTGAATGTAATTTCATTGTTATATTAAAATAATAGCTTTTAATCAAAAGTATCTATAAAAATAACTAACGCGGAGGGTGGGAAGATGGCTCATGGTGTGGTGATATATACAGACAATGGGCAGGACAGAGGAACATGTGGAAGAACACAGGACTAGTAAGAGAGACTGGCATGAGGGTCAAGCAGGGAGTGGAGAGAGGGAGCCCTGAGGCAGAGAGGCACACGGGCGAGAAGGATGATATTGTACAGTGCAGAAGCACAGGCAGGAAGGCAGGTACGGCTTTGTGACCAATTCTGGAGGGCCACAACCTTCCTATAAAGCATCTCTTCAAAATTAAATTTCTCACTGCTATGGTGTAATCTGTTTTTCTTACTTGATTCTCATTAGAAATTATTTTAAGATCTCAATATCATATCTAATATTTCATGTGATTTAAATTTACATATGCTAACAGAAATCAAGTATATTGGCTTTGGAATATAATAATAATAATAATAATAATAATAATAATAATAATAATAATAATAAAAATATAGGTCCTTAAATTCACCTCCTGACTTTTTTCCAGTCTTGGTTTGCTCCTAGGCAATAGGATTGGGCATGCGGGCATAACCTTACAGTTCTAGTGTTCAGAGGCGGGAGGCAGAAGTATCGAAGTTAGAAGCTGGCACAGTCTACATAGGGAGTTCCAGACCAGTGTGGGCTTTTTAAGGAGTCTAAAACCCTAACTAACCAAAACTAGGTAATAGGAAGCAAGATGTTATTTTCTAATACTTAAGAATCTGGGCAAGCATCTGGGAGCATTTTCTACATTTATTTTTATTTATAAGTATGTCTTCTCTGTGTGGCTATGCACACATCTGTGATGTTGCATACAGAAGCAGAAGCATCAGATTCCCCTGAAGCTGGTGTTACAGGAACATGGTTGCAAGGAACTGAACTTGGGTTCTTTTGCAAGAGCCTTATGCTATCTCAACCGTTGAGTCATCCCTCCAGTCCCCAGACTTTTTTTTTTTTTTTTTAACTAGAACTAGGAATAGAACTAGGGTACTTGCTAAAATTACCCACAGAAGCTAAAGAACTCCATCTCTACAGCTGTTTTACAGCATGAGATAGCCATATTCTGGGAATTAATCTCAGTTTTACTTAGTGCTTTCATTTAGCTATAGTAGACAATCTAGAGGTTTAATCTAGCATTGAGATTCCCAAGTAGCAAACCCAAATGAAGCCTGGCTCCCTTT